AGAAGGAGGGAGCCGAGGAGGAGAGGGAGAGAGAGGGGACTGGCGATGGGAGGGAGGAGAGAAACCTCCAACTCCCGGTACCTCAGGCGGCTATGGCCGCCGGTAACCCAGTCGCTGCTGCTGCTGCTCCGCTCGCTGCTGCTGCGCTAATCGCTACGCTGCCTGCTCCTCGCTCCTGCGCTAAACATAGCGCTCCAACGGCACTCTGGTGCCGACCTTACCGCACCGTAGTATACCGGTGGGTCGATCCCCTGAGTGAGGCCGGACCGGTTCTTTATACCGGTGGGCAGAGGCCGGCCTCACTGCTGCGAGGCCTGGCTGTGCCCTGAACCGTCCAGATGGACGGTTCAGCCCCAACCGGCGGGCGGCAGCCTCAAGAGCGCCGCCAGGCCCAAACGGTAATGTCGTTTGGGCCTGCCYGTCGGGTCTGGTCCAAGGTGAGGCCTTTATGGCCTGTAGTACCCCCAAGGTCGGGCCTTTAGGCCCTGATGTGTCCCTCCAGCCCTAAGTCGGGTCCGGTAGGACCCGTGTGCGTCGAAGATGTAACAGTCTATTATATGGTGCTATCGGAGACAGTTCACACTTTCCAGAAATCCATGGACGTTTGGCAGCCATGTGCACCGTACAAGTCTCCTGTGTGTCCCAATGGCAGATGGCATCAAGATACCGTCATCGAGAAGTAATATTGAACTGGAAACATGGGATCCATGCGCTTGGAAAGGGGTTAGAGGTCATGGCTGACAGAGGCAGCAAAGGAAAGGCTTGATAATTGCAGTGGGTGAAGTAGAATGGATGGCCAACAGACCAATTATACACATAGTATTATTTCTGCCAAGAAACATTTGCTCGACTCCCATTGTAATGACTTAGAATGGCACTCGCACACACATACCTGCCAATGCGATGATGTGAGAGAGGCCTCCTTATGACGGAAGAATGCACGAACACCTTGCCTCAATTCTTCTCTCAGGCGCCTCCCTTGTTGTGTTGGATTTGCCTCCTCCATTTCCCTGAGCCTGTGAAACACAGCACGCAGCATTTCACCTCAACTTCATCATAGATCATGACCTTAGCGTACTTTTGCAGAGCACTATTCCCACCCTGTGACGTGCCCGGCAGAAAGTCGGTGCCCGGTTCCCGTGCGAACGGAGGGACAGAGAGAGTGCCCATGGAAAATCGGTGCCGTTTCCTGTGCAAACACAGGGACAGAGAGAGTCGCAGGCGTTTTTCCCCACAGCCGTCGGCTGCGGCCAGTGACTGCAGTGTGCTGAACAACTTGCTTAAGACTGTAAATTCTGGGTCCCATGGAGGTGTGATTTTGCAACTGGCTTGGCAGACACAGCAGGATAACAATACCAGAATTAAGTTTTCCCTGTTGAATTTTCCTTGCGTGAAACATATCTCATCATCCGACCAATTATGCTGCCCAAGTGAATGCTGGAAAACTAGCACAACTTTCATCTGGAAATGAGCCAGTTGAACGGGGAATCAGAAATTGAGGCCCGCACTCCACTACTCAATATTCTGGAGCAGATCCATTCGGACGAGTGCAACATTTTGAATGTATCAGCCTATCAGGGTGATCCAGATACGTATAGACTCTATAGAGTGTTGTGTCGCGGAGGGAGGCCCTTTGGTCATGAAAAGGACTACATACTTTGCAATAAGAAGGCCTTGCTACAGACAAGATTGCAAAAGTAACTCCGATGCAACAGACCAGATCCACAGAAATACCACATAGAAGTACAAGAACCCTTGATCTCATAGAGGTGTGAGTCTGTGCCTGGCTCAGGTCGCAGTGCCACAGACCTTATCTGGATATACCTACCACTAACTGAAAAAAGAAAAAAGAAAAAAGGTTCGCCCAGCTTTTAGTTCGCTTGTCTGTGTTTGGTTTGATCTGTAGATTTTGTAACTATTGTAGATTTTTGACAATTTTAATTTGATCTGTAGACGTGGAACTATGTCGTCCTTCTCCACAATTGCGTTGTACTTTGTGCATTTTTGTAAAGTGCTATCAGAGTTCAGGTACATGATGACTTGTCCAGACAAGGACATTCCTGGAAACGTTCTTGGGTTGGCAGCGGCTTTCACGTTCTTGCTGGCTGACTGCTGCTCACGTCCACTTTGCAGTGAATAGCTGAAACAGGATTGCACTTTTGTGCATTTTTGTAGAAGTGCTATCAGAGTTTAGGTACACGGTGGGAACTTGTACAGAGAAGGACATTCCTAGAAACATTCTTCGGTTGGTAGCGGCTTCCATGTTATCGCTGGCTGGCTGCTACTCACACCCACTTTGCAATAAATAGCTGGAACAGGATTGCACTGAAGGTAAGCTAGCAGTTCTAGAATAAATGCTCGAGGATGATGAGCATTGTGAGGATTGGGGAGACCCTGCAGACATGAAGAGCAGTTACTTAGAGAAAGGAGCAGATTTCAAACAGACAAAATGAGAAAAGGGTGTCTTCACTTTTCAAATCAATTACGGAGATTCAAGGGAGTGCAGGTGAAAGAATAAGTCGACGTGGAGGCCTCTCTATAGAGCCGTGAATGTGTGATGGCTAAATACCTGCGCCTTTTCAGCTCTTCCTTCTTTCCAGCTTTCTTGCTTTTTTTCGGTGGTCCTCCATTTCCATCCCTTGCAATGGCCTTCCCCTTCCTTTTCCTACTTTCTTTTGCTGCTGCTGATTCACTGCCCTCAACTGTTGTATTACCATTCGCTGCTGCACCACCATCGTTCGTTGCGTCCCCACCTTTTGCCACATCGTCTTCAGCTCTCACACTGCCATTAGATGCCGGGCCACCTTCAACCATATCGTGCCCTTGCACATCAGCACCATCGACCATTTCAGCGCCAACTGTCACGTCTCCGTCATTTGCTCCATTGTCTTCAGCTCTTGCATTATCTCGTAGCGTACTATCATCCACATTGATGTCCATACTGCCGTTCTCTTGCGCATCAGCTCGTCCCGGCCCTTCCTCTGCAGTGCTTACCCTTTCCTCAGCACTGGCATCCTTTGCACACATTCCCGCCCGTTGCTCTCCATCCGCTCCGTCCTCGTTGCCTTCCTTGGGAGGAATAGTACAGGAGCCCTCATCATGCTCCAGTGCACCATTTGGAGCTGCCCCATTTGCTTGTTCAGTACCACCCTTGGCAGACTTTTTCACATCGGAAGCTCCCTTTCCCTTCTTAACCCTTTTGACAACTGCTTTTTTTGTGCCTTTGCCCAATGTTTTGGAGGCAGTGAGCCCCCCATCTTCAACGTCTCCAACCACCACCACTTTTTTGGGCACAGCATCACTCTTGTTTCCAGGAGCACTGTCCTTATCATTGAGTGAGTCTGAAGCACAGTCATCCCCGTTGGTTCTTGCCGGTGGCATTCGACCAAACATATCTTTTATACTTCGCTGCCTGTATTTATCATCTTTTTCCCTCAGCTTCTTCCACAGCCAATCAGGATGCTGAACCCGGGGAACAGGATTTGTGACCTGCCAACCAATATCCCAAACAGCAGTCAAACCGTGTCACATTCATGCTAAGCCCAAGGACTTCCTTTTCCTAAAAGTAGCGACCAAAACAGGCCCATATTCACTTCCCCCCCCACTGGACTGCCAGGAAGCAGTACGGTAGCTGGCCTCGTTCAGCTCAGCAGGTCAGGTTGAGAGGCCGTCATGGTTTGATATATGTCACCTAAGCCCTTAACCATACACCTTGACACATACGATCGTGTAGAATTATGTAGCTGAAATTTAGGATTTGCATACAGCTTGTTGTAGATGGCTTCTTATTAAGTTCTTAATGGTTTAGGGTTTAGGGTTTAGGGCTCGGCTTCATTTCCGTGCGCACGGGTGCCCCCGACACGCACGGATCCTTGCACGGCCACACGGCCGTGCGGGTCCCCCGTACGGGCCCCGTGTGGCCCCAGCGCGGTGTTCAGAAAAAAATGCTAACTTTTTCTCTGCTTCGTCTTCTTCTTTTTCTCCTCCCTCGTCGTCTACCTTCTTCTCCCCCTCCCGCCATCTCCTTCGTCCCTCCCACTCCCTCCTACTCTCCCTCCCACTCCCACCTACTTCCCATCCCGTCATCTCCTTCGTCCCTCCCACAACCTCATACTTCCACTCCCGCCATCTCCCTCGTCGCTCCCACCATCCTCCACCTCTCTCCCGCCACTTCGTTCCTGCACTTCCGCCATCCTCCACCTCCCTCCCGCCACTTCGTTCCTGCTGTTCCGCCATCTTCCACCTCTTTTCCGTTGTCTTCTCCTACCTCCCTTCCGGCATATCGAACCTCCATCCCGCCTTCTCTCCCCTAACTCACGCCACCTCCCACTTCCCTTCCCGCCATTTACCACCTCCATCTCGCGGTCTCCCACCTACTACCCGCTACCTCCCACTTCCCCCCCCGCCATCTCCCACGTCCCGCCCACCACCTCAGCCTCCCTTGCGCCACTTTGGTCTTCTTCTTCCACCATCTTCTTCCTCCCACCTGCCGTCCTCCGCCTCCCTCCTGCCACCACCACTTCACTGCATGTGTGGAAAAGGCAGATTCTGGCACTTATCTGGATGCGCAGCAGCCCTCGATCACCACTTTTTTTTTTTTTTTAACTCGCATGGGTGACCCGTGCAGCCACCCGGCCGTGCCGGCCCGGCCTGGTGGCTCAGGAAGCCTAGGTTTAGGGTTCCATGTATGTTAGATTGTGTAATGACCCGCCATAACACACACTGAGAGCACTGCTGATTTCTGCCGATGGAATTGATGCCTTGCTGAGATTCCCGCATTCTGCTGTGTTTTCTAAGTCTGTATGTGTGCGTGCTTGTTGACCTGCGTGCCTGTCTGAGTGCTTGTCGGCATGAGTGTGTGTGTGACCCGCAAGGGTACTTGCTTGTTTGGCAGGCCCGTAGGGCCGGTACTTACCTGTGGCCGTGATATTGAGGGTTGCAGCAGGGAAAACACTCAAGTAGCGGAGCCAGGGGCACGCGGTACTTGGAGCAGCGGAAAAACACTCAAGTAGCAGGTAGGCCGATACCACACCCAGTAGCAGTAGATGTGCCAGGTACTCGAGGCCGAGCAGAAGAAGACAAAGTTGGCATTTTTAGAGGCCCAGTAGCGGTAGGCTAGGTCTAGGCCAGTACCAGTCCATCCAGTCTGAGTCTAGAGCCTGTACGGGCAATATCAGAGTCTGCAATGATGTTTCCCTCCGAAAGGGAGGAGGTAGCGGTTGCTTGGGAGGCCGAGCGGCCTGGAAGTCACCGCCCAGGAGGCAAGTAGGCCGCTATATCAAGAGGCCAAGGGAAGAGCCCGGCCTCATTCTTCAGTGTGCAAGTTTGGCGACACGGTGCTGGAGCGCTGGCTACTACAGCGCTGCTGTGAGGAAGAAGCCGGGAGCTTCCACCTTGGCTATGGTGGAGCTCTACCGGTAGGAGGAGGGGGGAGGAGGGGACCAAGGAAGAGAGTGGTGAGGTACCTACCTGGCTATGGTGGACACCATCTTCATCACCTTGTTAGGCGCTGCATCTGGAAGGCCCCAGTTGGCGTAGTGCCGCATCAAGGAAGTTCAGACAGAGTCAGGCATGGCGGTTGAGTGGGCAGCGGCATAGCTGCCTGGTGTTGACCTTGGGACAAGAGGGCAGCGACATAGCTGCTTTGGGTTGTCCTTTGGATGGGAGGGTAGAGCCCTCAATGCTCCGCCATAACCTCGGCCTGCATGAAGAGGAAGAGGAAGGGTGGCCATGGCTATGGTGGACCTCATGTTGTGCCTGCAGTAGAAGTGGGATTCGGACATTGATTCTAGTTCAGCCATTCAACATCATTATTGTTATTTCTTGTTTGAATAAGAGCGGAGGAGATAAGGAGGAGGCAAAGAAGAAGAGCATTATTGGAGTACATCATCTTCTTCTTCTTTCTTACTTCTTCTTCTTCTTCTTTCCCTCTCTCTTCTCTCAAGTTCATTCATTTCTTTTTGCAATTGGACGGCACTGTACTTTCTGATGAATGTATACTTCAAAATTGGCCAGGATCAAAATTGATTGTTCATGATTTCTATTCTTTGTAGGTGGATATCATTTTACTGATTGTTCATGATATCTATTATGAACATTTTAATGAAAACGGTAAACCACCACTACCTCCGCTCCTGTTTTTACTGACCCTGAATTTCACTGCGCACCGAGTTTTGCAAAGACTGGGTGCCATTGTAGTTTCTTTTCTGGTACTCCGAGATGAACAACGAAAAAAACAGCGAGGAAAAAAAAAAAAAGCAACAAGGATATGGACGTGAAAGCAGTTGGACACTGAATACGGGGTACTTGTGAGACTATGCCCTCAGTGAGGGCCTTATAGCGCTGCAAAGATCACGGCACTTCGTTTCCAAAATCACAACAAAAAAAAAAGAAAAACAAAGCAGCAACGCTATAGACGCGAAAGCAGTTGGATACAGAGCTTGGAGTTCGTGTGAGAGCGTGCCCTCCTTGAGGCAGGTAAAGCGGCGCCGTCATCACGGCAGCTACTTCCGAAGAAGAAAAAAAAATGCAACTACGTTTTGGATGTTTTCACGGCTAGATACAGGATCTGGACTTCGGGTGAGATGCTTCCCTCTGTGAAAAAGTGTCAGCAGTCCGTGCAAAGCACCCCTCCTTGCTGGCAGGTGGACCAAAACACAACAAAAGCAGAAAAGAAAAAAAACGAAAAATACAAAACTTGAAAGTAGCCGTAGAGGGCTGTTAGATTCGTTTCTGGCAGCACTACTGTGAGCACACCTTGTTCACGGCCTTCCCCTACGTCCTTCCTTTTGTTACTTTGGCTTCTTCTTTTTTTTTTTCTTTTGCCTTCTCGCAAACGGGCCCACAAGGCCCAAAAACTTTCTTTTAGCCGACCCTCTCCCCCACCCCCGAAAAATGTGGTGTGACGTACATTCTCGTTTTTCCCAACACTGAGAACGGTAGTGGTGGTTTAAAAGGTTAACGTTGTTTGATCGACACGGATGTGTGGCAAGCCTTGGTTCATTCATATATTGATTCCCACCCGAACGATAACGTGGGTGCCCGCAGTTTTCAGGGCTTGCAAAATCGTCCTTTCTCAAAATCTTCACCGAAAGAAACGGGCGGATAGGTTACATTGGGCAGAATTATGAACAAATTTTGCGCAGGTAACGAATTTCTTTGTTCTCCTCCTCCTTCCCCTCCTCCTCATCCATCATCATGGATCATGCTATTCTCGCTGTTGATCACCCACATTCACAACAGGGAAGAAGTTGGCAGCAGGAGTGGACCGGTAGTCAAGGGAGAGCCGGTTAACCGACCCCCCATTTTTCACCTCAATTTATAAGAAACCCATAAGGCCATTTCAAGCAAACTCCACACCAATGTATAGAGTGCACTTCTTACTAACACATTATATTCAGGATTTTCAGGATGATCAACAGCACAAATTCTGATAACCCTAATGACACCAAATTTAACACACAGCAAGCTTGTCCAAAAACAAAAACAGGCAAAAAAAAAAATTCCAAAAAAAAACAAAATTTGACCCCGAAACCCTAATTTCAGGATCATGCATGGTTACTCAGGGCCGAAAAGTGGGGGTCCCCGTTAACCGCTTGTGAAGTGTGGCAACAGGCAAAGCAGGAGTTGATGACCGCTGTGTCCCAATACAGCTCCAAGAGTGAGCATCCCACACAACAAAAAATCAGACTGTAGATCTCATGAATCACATGTCAAATTTCATGGCTAATCTGCCTACACTACAGAAGCACCACCAATGATTTGCTTTTGTTCTTTGGGACGTCAGAGCCATCGATCATCCGGCCCCAGGAAACTCGCAATTTGCAGAGTAAAAGAGGAACCAAGGTGAGAAAAAGCGCTATGAAATGGGAGGGAGGGAGTGAACAAAAGTCCTCACAAACATCATGAATAGAAGAACAGACAGAATCCAGAGTAGGAGGGGAGGAGGTCGAGGAGCTGGAGGAGGAGGAGGAGGAGGAAGCGGAGGAGGAGGAGGAAGAGGAGGACGAAGAGGATAGACCAAGTGTCGAGAATTGCACTCTTTGCAACAACAAAACTCTTACCCTTTGCATCGCAGCAGGAATAGTAATGATCTTTTGAATAGCACTACCCAAGCGAGTCCTGTAGTAGTCCCAATCAACAATAGTTCTGATGTCAACATCTCCTGGTTCCTTGCACCATTTGCGCAGGTAGGACTTCATCACGTCTGCAAATGACATGTTTCAAACATCCCATTGATTGTCAGAAGGTTCAGGTCAGTGAATGGGATATTCACAGGCGCAGGTGTTGTACTTTGATCTAGGGGAAATGAGCACCAAAGGACTTCATCACGTCTGCAAATGACATGTTTCAAACATCCCATTGATTGTCAGAAGGTTCAATTCGGCTATGTGTCCGACTTTTGATTCAACGCGGGTTCCGCTTTGAATTATTCAATGCGCGTTGAATCCGCATTGAATCCGCGTTGAATCACCGTTGGACGGGTAAAAACGGGGTCCGCAATGATTTTTTTTTCCTGGGCTAAACATAATCCAAAAAATATATGAGTCGGTGAAACTCCGACGAAACAGTTTGTCACAGCCCCTCGTTTGTTGTCCTCTTCTCCCTCTCTGCCTACGGTTTACCAGGCAGTTCTATTTGACGATATATATATGGGGTTGTAGGTCTTTTCGAGGACTACAACCCTATATTTTTATTTTTATTTTTTGATGTTTGAGACTTTGATTATATTTTTAAAAAATCAAATACATAAACACAATGAAAAAAACAAAAACAAAAAATGAAATGAGTGTTTTTTTTTTTGGGTTTCACAGAGGTTTTTAAAGGACAAAAAAGAAAAACAAATAAAAAATATAGGGTTGTAGATCTTTCAAATATGTACAACAACATTTTTTATTTTTATTTTTTAACTTCGTGTATTTAAAAAAAAATCAAGACCATAAAAAACAAATTAAAAAAAGGAAAAAAAGACACGCACACACACACAGACACAGACACACAGTCAGACAGACACACATGCAAGGAAGATGAGCAATAGCGAACTTCAGCAATCAAACAGCATCATATACACAAGACCAGATAGTCGTGACCTCGAACCAACAGCAGAATTGCATCACGAGTTTCACCAAATAAGAAGACACCAAGAGCTCATAATTGACAATGCTGGTAAAGTCTCATCATCATCATCAATGAAGAACCAATGTTGATATCCTATCTGGCGTTCGGCGTCCAGACTACAGATGGCAGATCCTATCTAGCCTAGACTACAATGCCGAATGATGACGTCAACAGCTTTCCCGAAGTACGAGCATACAGCGACCAATGTCGCACGCTTCCAGCACCAGGTATGTCTCTCGCCACACTCACAACCTCGTTCCCCAACACACAGATGCCACTTGCACCCAAGGACCACCCTGCGCCACACCCAGCTTACAGCAGCGCAGCTCGGTTTGTGGGAGATCCCGTGCTCCTGTCCCAGTTCTGAGGACTTAACCCAGACTCTGTCCCCAACCTGAAATGAAGACTCACGACGGTGTTTGTTCGCAGATTCTATCATAGCCGCCTGTGCCTTTTGCATCTGTTCTACAGCCTGCTGCATCTTCTGTTCATACCGGTAAGCAGTGTTGCACACCCCGACCGTCAGCGCCCCTTGACTGGTCGGCTGCCGACCCGCCGACCGGTCGGCTGGTCGGCACCTACTGGTCGGGGGTCGTCGGCAACCCCCATTGTTTTTTTATTTTTTATGGGGTCCAGAACCCCTAATAATATCACCAACACCCCCATAGCAGGCCCCAATACCCCATATATCACCCCAACAGCCCCGAACAGCCGCCAACACCATTATTAAACTATCCATAACCCCCTATATCACCCCTATACTCCGGCGCATCGCGTGCGGGCGAGCTACGCACGTGTGGCACCTAGTGCAGAGCAACCATGCGCGCGCACCCCAATAAATAGAGTTTAAAAAAAAATTCGAGAGGGCCGGCTGAGGAAGCCAATGGTGCCCCTCCCTTCTAAAATGCCGAAGGGCACAGAAAAAAAAATTGAGCACACGTTTTCCTTGTTGAATTGTCCTTTTCCCGAAGGACCCCAGTACATCTGCAAAGGTCCCACCGTCTCAAGAGACGTTCAGCAAATTTCATGTGAGAATGGAGCAGGCCAGCAATATATGTTCTGGATCCGAAGTCAGGTCAGCTTTCCAGCAGTTATGAGGTACACGTTACAACTACTTACTACCGTAGCTCTCTCTTTCTTTTGTTTCGTTTTCCTACGAGCAGTGGCCCTAAGGGCCTTGCTCCACTCGTCACTACTTGCACAAAAGACAAAACATATGGCGGC